TCAGCTCAGTTACAGCCAAACAGTCACTAAATCATCAGGAGCCCGTTAGCCTAGCTTAGCACAAACACTGGAAGCGAAGGGAAACTGTTAGCATCGTCCAGGAGCCGCCGCCAGAGCGAAGTGCGTCTGTTCAGTGTAAGCAGGAGAAACTTCTGATCCCGTAAACAGACTCAAAGAGTAAAAAGCTCCTGTAAGAAGTATTTCTACTCTCATAAAACAAACGATGTGGATCTCTGCAAAATACACAAAGGCTCCTGTAGAATCTAATTGTCATGAAAAGCTTGCAAACATCCGTTAAAAAGTATTTGTACTTCAATAAAAATGATGTGTACTCCTGCAAAAAGGACTTGTAGTCCAGTAAATAGAATTTATACTCCAGTAAAAATGATGTGTGCTGATGTGAAAAGGTGTCAAATGATGTCTGACAAGTGTTCCCAGTAAAAAGTATTTGTCTGGTGGTAGAAATGATGTGCACTCGAGTAAAAATCACGTGTACTCCACTAAAAATGTGTACTCCTATGAAAAGTATTTTTACTTTATTAAAAATGATGTAAATGGTGTAAATCCTATAAAACCACATGGACACTTTCAAAAAGTATGCAAACACGCTCCCATAAAAGTCACATCACCTTCTGTAAAAAGTATTTGTACTCTTGTAGTAATAAAAGGTACTCGTTAGCCTAGCTTAGCACAAACACTGGAAGTAAAGGGAAACTGCTAGCCAGGTCCGACACTAATCGCTGCCAAAACATCACGTCTGTTTGCACGTCAGAAGAAAACGTGGACTGTAAAGCTCAGCAGATCTTATTAAAAAGTACCTGTACTCCTGTAAAAACTGTTAGTATTCTGCTGAGAAGTATTTGTACTGCAGTAAAAATGTTGCTGATCTCTGCAAAATGAACGACGGCTCCCGTAAAATACCATCAACTCTCATAAAAGGTCTGCAGACGCCTGTAAAACCAAAGTATTTGAACGAAAAGTATTTGTACTCAAGTAAAAATGATGTGTACTCCTGTAACAAGTAACTTTCATTAAAAGTATTTGTAGTTTAGTAAAATATATACATATATATGTAAGCCTCTGTTTAAAGCATTTGTACTAAAAATAAAGTGTCGTTCTGTAACGAGTATTTGTACTGCAAACAAGAAGTATCTGGAGTTCTGTTAAATGTATTTGTACTCACTTAACATTATGTGGACTTTAATGTTCTGGTTATTTATTTATTTTTATAGTTAATATGTAAATTAATGTTTATTTCTGTGATTTGACCAGATACATGTTGTCGGTATTTTAATCTGTAAAAAAGCTTCTAAAGAAGTCTCCCATTTTTAATCACTAACGACTGTAACATAAAAACATTTTTCAGATTTAAATGCGGTAAAAATACTTTAATTTACGGTAAAAGGCTGAATTATCACTGATATCATCAGAAGCAGGTTGAAGTCTGCAGCAGGAGAAACTCCAGTTAGAAAAACACATTTATCTTCCTCTTTGTTTACATCCCCAGTCGTGTTTGTGTCGTAACCGCGGCAACAGACAGCTGATTAGAGACGAAAACACGGCGACGTGATCATTAGGAAGCTGCACGGCGCCTCTTCACGGGCCCTAAGTGGATTTTCTGCTCTTCTAAGTCGAGCTCAGGAGCACAAAAGCTCTGCGAG